GACGGGGCCGCAGGTAGGCGACAGGGCGGCAGGTAGGCGGCGGGGCTGCAGGTAGGCGACGGGGCCGCAGGTAGGCGGCGGGGCCGCAGGTAGGCGGCGGGGCCGCAGGTAGACGAAGGGGCCGCAGGTAGGCGTCGGGGCCGCAGGTAGGCGTCGGGGCCGCAGGTAGGCGACGGGGCCAGCAAGGGCGGGGCCGGGTCGGGAAGGGCGGCGCGAGGGCCGCGGGGTAGGCGACAGGGCCAAAAGGGCGGCGAATCGGGGCCGGGAAGGGCGGCTCGAGGGCCGCGGGGTAGGCGACGGGGCCGCTAGGGCGACGGATCGGGGCCGTCAAGGGCGGGGCGACACAGTGAGAAAGGGGGGAGCGCGACTCGGGCAAGGGCTGAGCGCGCTCCGGGCAGGAAAAAAAAATCGAATCGGTGGGCCCTAGGAACAGTTCCCACGAGGGAACGTGCTCGATACCATGAGAAAACTGAAACGAGAATGAATGCACTATGAAAGAGTTGGGTACAAGTACTAACCCTAATTGGGTTGTACCCTATATGGGCTACCCCACTACAGCCTACACATAAGCATAAGCTATAATGTTCTGACAAAAAGGTGGAGCTGAAACTATGAAATCTCTCAAAATATGTGGATCGGAAAGGTTAGAACCTAGTGTTGTTGAGTAGAAGGCCTAATCTAGTGGACTGGCAAGAAAGTGATACTATCTGGATCTTTACAGATATAAGTTATGCGCTGGTCTATTTGGTCGGTATGCGCGCCTGTAGTGCAGGTACCATGTACGATGGAATGCATCTATCTGCCAAATTACATAGATCCAAAAGGTTAAAACCTGGTAGGGGGGTGGGGAATGATAAAAGTTAAAGGAATTGGGAAATTATATGGTAATCACTTTATGCCTACAGAGAAAATAATGCGTTGGTCGGTTCGGTCAATATGCACGCTTGTGTGCAGGTACAAGGCGGAGCTGAAACTCTGAAATCTCTCAAAGTATGTGGATCGGAAAGGTTAGAACCTAGTGTTGTTGAAGTTGAAGGCCTTAGTTAATGGACAAGCAAGAAGATGGTACTAACTGCATCTCTACAGACATAAGAAATGCGTTGGTCTGTTTGGTCGGTATGCGCGCCTGTAGTGCAGGTACCATGTATGACTGGAATGCCTATATATGCCAAATTACATATATCCAAAAGGTTAAAACCTGGTATGGGGGTGTGGAATATTATCAGTTAAATGAGTTGGGAAAATATATGGTAATCACTGTATGCCTACAGAGAAAATAATGCGCTGGTCGGTTCGGTCAGTATGCACGCTTGTGTGCAGGTACAAGGCGGAGCTAAAACTCTGAAATATCTCAAAATATGTGGATTGGAAAAGTTAGAACATATTGTTGAAGTAGAAGGCCTAATCTAATGGACTTGCAAGAAAATGGTACTAACTGCATCTCTACAAACATAAGTAATGCGTTGGTCCATTTAGTCAGTATGCGCGCCTGTAGTGCAGGTACCATGTACGACTTGAATGCCTATATCTGCCAAATTACATATATCCAAAAGGTTATAACCTGGTCGGGGGGTGGGGAATATTATAACTTAAAGGAATTGGGAAAACATATGGTAATTACTGTATGCCTTCAGAGAAAATAATGCGTTGGTCAGTTCGGTCAGTACGCACGCTTGTGTGTAGGTACAAGGCGGAGATGAAACTCTGAAATATCTCAAAGTATGTGGATCGGAAAGGTTAGAACCTAGTGTTGTTAAAGTAGAAGGCCTAATCTAGTGGACTGACAAGAAAACGGTACAAACCGCATCTGTACAAACAAGCGTTGGTCAGTTTGGTCAATATGCGCGCCTGTAGTGCAGGTACCATGTACGACTGAAATGCCTATATCTGCCAAATTACATAGATACATAAGGTTAAAACCTGGTAGGGGGGTGGGGAATGGTATAGGTTAAAGGAATTGGGAAAACATATGGTAATCATTGTATGCCTATAGAGAAAATAATGCGTTTGTCGGTTCGGTGAGTATGCACGCTTGTGTGCAGGTACAAGGCGGAGCTAATACTCTGAAATATCTCAAAATATGTGGATCGGAAAAGTTAGAACCTATTGTTGTTGAAGTAGAAGGCCTAATCTAATGGACTGGCAAAAAAATGGTATTAACTGCATCTCTACAAACATAAGTAATGCGTTGGTCCATTTGGTCAGTATGCGCGCCTGTAGTGCAGGTACTATGTACGACTGGAATGTCTATATCTGCCAAATTACATATATCCAAAAGGTTAAAACCTGGTCGGGGGGTGGGGAATATTATAACTTAAAGGAATTGGGAAAACATATGGTAATTACTGTATGCCTACAGAGAAAATAATGCGTTGGTCAGTTCGGTCAGTACGCACGCTTGTGTGTAGGTACAAGGCGGAGATGAAACTCTGAAATATCTCAAAGTATGTGGATCGGAAAGGTTAGAACCTAGTGTTGTTAAAGTAGAAGGCCTAATCTAGTGGACTGAGAAGAAAACGGTACAAACCGTATCTGTACAAACATGCGTTGGTCAGTTTGGTCAATATGCGCGCCTGTAGTGCTGTCAGAATGTTATAATTGTCTAGCCTGCAGTGGGGTACTTTATAGCGAGTACAACCCAATTAGGGTTTCCTATATGTATGCCAACTGTTGCTAGTGCAACCCCTCTCTTCTTCATTCCTCATTTCTTCACATGCTATCAGAGCATCTACGCTCCTGGCCTGTGGGCCCACCCAACTGCTTCTGCTGCTACTCTGTGTGTTGCACCCCCCATGGCGTGCGACGGATTTTTCCTTCCCCTCGGCCGCCCTCTTGTCGAGCCCTCCTAGAGGCCCCTCTCACGGCCCCTCGCGCGACCCTTAGCGGCCCCGTCGCCACCCCTAGCGGCCCCGTCGCCGCCCTTCTCGGCCCCTCGAGGCCCCTTAGCGGCCCCGTCGCCGCCCCTAGCGGCCCCGTCGCCGACCTTTCAGGCCCCTCGCAGCCCCTTTGCGGCCCTGTCGCCGCCCCTAGCGGCCCGTCGCCGCCCTTGCAGGCCCCTCGTGGCCCCTTAGCGGCCCCGTCGCCGCCCCTATCGGCCCCGTCGCCGCCTCCAGCGGCCCCGTCGCCGCCCCTAGCGGCCCCGTCGCCGCCCCTATCGGCCCCGTCGCCGCCTCCAGCGGCCCCGTCACCGCCCCTTGCGGCCCCGTCGCCGCCCCCCTTTCTACCCTGCCCCGGCCCCGCCCCGGCCATGCTCCGTCGCCTATCGCGGCGCACCGGGGGCCCGTGCACCGCCCCCTCCCTCTTTTCCCATCACCTGTCGAGGCGACCTGAGGGGGCCGCGCGCGGTCCCCTAGGGTTATGGGGGGGCGATATGGGGGGGGAGGCGAGCGTCGCCCCTTCTACCGCCTGTTTTGGCGCCCTGGGAGGCTGCGCGTCGCCCCCCCCCCCCCCCCCGTAACCGCCCTACCCGCCGTCCCACCCTGCCCTGTGTTAGGGTCTGGGGGTGGCGAGTAGGGGGTGGCGGGTGTGAGGTCTCTCCTGCTCCTCCTCCTCCTCCTCTGTCTCCCACTGCTGCAGCTGCCGCTGAGGGGGGTGGGTGTGTGGGAGTCGACGGAGTGGTGAAAGGGGGTGGGGTGTGAGTGAACCTAGGGTGCAGCAAGGGGTGTGTGAAAGGGGGGTGCTGTGGGAGTGGAACTAGGGTTTGAGCAGGGGGTGTGTGTCGAGGGGTGTGGGGCAGCTGGAGGAGGTTGTGTGAAGGTAGCTGTCGTATCGCCTGCAGCGCCTGTAGTCCGCCGCCCTTGCTTCGGTAGCCAGTGAGCCTGTTGCACCAGTCGCTAGTGGGTACGTTGCTCCTGCCGCTCGTGTATAGCCGCGGAGCCAGTTACTCCAGTAGTCCGTCGCCCTTGCTTCGGTAGCCACTAAGTCAGCCGCTCCTGAAAAGGTGCGCGCGAGCGGGCGACATTTCGGGGGGAGACGTTTGCGGAGGGGGCGGGTCTCCGGAAAAGGTGCGCGCGAGCGGACGTCATTTCGAGGGGAGACGTTTGGCGGGGGCGCGGGTCACCGGAAAAGGTACGCGCGAGCGGGCGACATTTCAAGGGGAGACGTTTGCGGAGGGGGCGGGTCCCCGGACAAGTTGCGCGCGAGCGGGCGACGTTTAGGGGGGAGATGTTTGCGGGGGGCGCGGGGGTCCGGAAAAAGTGCGCGCGAGCGGGCGACGTTTCGGGGGGAGGCGTTTGCGGGGGGCACGAGTCCCCGGAAAAGGTGCGCGCGAGCGGGCGACGTTCGGAGGGAGACGTTTGCGGGGGGCGCGGGGGCCCGGAGAAGGTGTGTGCGAGCAGGCGACGTTTCGGAGGGAGACGTTTGCGGGAGGGGGGGGGGGGTGTCCCAGGAGAAGGTGCGCGCGAGCGGACGACGTTTCGGGGGGGACGTTTGCGGGGCTCGCGTGGGTCCGGAGAAGGTGTGCGCGAGCGGGCGAAGTTTCGGGGGAAGACGTTTGCGGGGGGCGGGGATCCCTGAAAAAAGTGCGCGCGAGCGAGCAACATTTTAGAGGGAGACGTTCGCGGGGGGCGGGGGTCCCCGGAGAAGGTGCGCGCGAACGGGCGACGGTTCAAGGGGAGACGTTTGCGGGGAGCGCGGGAGTCCAGAGTAGGTACGCGCGAGTGGGCAACGTTTCGGGGGGAGACGTTTGCCAGGGGCGCGGGTCCCCGAAGAAGGTGCGCGCCAGGAGGCGACATTTCGGGGGGAGACGTTTGCGAGGGGGGCGGGTCCCCAGAGAAGGTGCGTGCGAACGGGTGACGTTTCGGGGGGAGACGTTTGCGGGGGGCGCGGGTCTTCGGAAAAGGTGCGCACGAGCGGGCGACGTTTCGGGGGGAGACGTTTGCAGGGGGCGCGGGGGTCCAGAGAAGGTGCGCGCAAACGGGCGACGTTTCGGGGGGAGACGTTTGCGGGGAGCGCGGGTCCCCAGAAAAGGTGCGCGCGAGCGGACGACGTTTCGGGGGAAGATGTTGGGGGGGGGCGCGGGTCCCTCGAGAAGGTGCGCGCGAGTGGGCGACGCTTTTGGGGGGAGACGTTTGCGGGGGGGGGGCGGGTCCCCGGCAAAAGATGCCCGCGAGCGGGCGACGTTTCAGGGGGAGACGTTTGCACGGGGCGTGCGGGCCCGGAGAAGGCGCGCGCGAGCGGGCGACGTTTTGGAAGGAGACGTTTGCGGGGGGCGCGGGTCTTCAGAGAAGGTGCGCGCGAGCGGGCGACGTTTCGGGGGGAGACGTTTGCAGGGGGCGCAAGGGTCCAGAGAAGGTGCGCGCGAGCGGGCGACGTTTCAGGGGGAGACGTTTGCAGGGGGCGCGGGTCCCCGGAGAAGGTGCGCGCGAGCGGGCGACGTCTCGGGGGGAGACATTTGCAGGGGGCGTGGGGGTCCAGAGAAGGTGTGCGCGAGCGGGCGACGTTTCGGGGGGAGACGTTTGCGCGGAGCGCCGGTCCCCGGAGAAGGTGCGCGCGAGCGGACGACGTTTCGGGGGGAGACGTTTGCGGGGGCCGCGGGACCCCGGAGAAGGTGCGCGTAAGTGGGCAACGCTTCGGGGGGAGTCGTTTGCGGGGGGGGCGGGTCCCCGGCAAAAGATGCGCGCGAGCGGGTGACGTTTCGGGGCGAGACGTTTGCGGGGCTCGCGCGGGTCTGGCGAAGGTGCGCGCGAGCGGGCGACTTTTCGGGGGGAGACGTCTGCGGGGGGCGCGGGGTCCTGAAAAAGTGCGCGCGAGCGGGCGACGTTTCGGGGGGAGACGTTTGCGGGGGGGGGCAGGTCCCCGGAGAAGGTGCGCACGAGCGAGCGACGTTTTGGGGGGAGACGTTTGCGGGCCTCGCGCGGGTCCGGAAATGGTGCGCGCGAGCGGGCGATGTTTCGGGGGGAGACCTTTGCGGGGGGCGCGGGTCCCCGGAAAAGGTGCGCGCGAGCGGACGACGTTTCAGGGGGAGACGTTTGCAAGGGCTGCGGGACCCTGGTCAAGGTGCGCGCGAGTGGGCGACGCTTCGGGGAGAGTCGTTTGCGGGGGGGGGCGGGTCCCGGGCAAAAAATGCGCGCGAGCGGGCGACGTTTCTGGGGGAGACGTTTGCGGGGCTCGCGCATGTCCGCAGAAGGTGCGCGCGAGCGGGTGACGTTTCGTGGGGAGACGTTTGCGGGGCTCGCACGGGTCCGGAGAAGGTGCGCGCGAGCGGGCGACGTTTCGGGGGGAGACGTTTGCGTGGGGCGCGGGTCCCCGCCGAAGGTGCGCGCGAGCGGGCGAGGTCTCGGGGGGAGACGTTTGAAGGGGGCGCGGGGGTCCAGAGAAGGTGCGCGCGAGCGGGCAACGTTTCGGGGGGGAGACGTTCGCGGGGAACGCCAGTCCCCGGAGAAGGTGCGCGCGAGCGGACGACCTTTCAGAGGGAGACGTTTGCGGGGGGCGCGGGTCCCCGAAGAAGGTGCGCGCGAGCGGGCGACGTTTCAAGGGGAGACGTTTGCGGGGGGCGCGGGTCCCCGGAGAAGGTGCGCGCGAGCGGGCGACGTTTCGGGGGGAGACGTTTGCGGTGGGGCGCGGGGGTCTAGAAAAGGTGCGCAAGAGCGGGCGACGTTTCGGGGGGAGACTATTGCGGGGGGGCGCGGGTCCCCGGAAAAGGTGTGCTCGAACGGACGACATTTTGGGGGGAGACGTTTGCGCGGGGGCGCGGGTCCCCGGAGAAGGTGCGCGCGAACGGGCGACGTTTTGGGGGGAGACGTTTGCGGGCGGCGCGGGTCCCCGGAGAAGGTGCGCGCGAGCGGGCGATGTTTCAGGGGGAGACGTTTGCAGGGGGGGCGGGTCCCCGGAGAAAGTGCGCGCGAGCGGGCGGCGTTTCGGGGGGAGACATTTGCGGGGGGGTCGGGTCCCCGGAACAGGTGCGCGCGATTGGATGACATATCGTGGGGAGACATTAGCGGAGGGCGCGGGTCCCCGGAGAAAGTGCGCGCGAGCGGGCGATGTTTCGGGGGGAGACGTTTGCGGGGGGGGCGGGTCCCTGGAAAAGGTGCGCGCGAGCGGGCGGCGTTTCGGGGGGAGACGTTTGCGGGGGGGTCGGGTCCCCGGAAAAGGTGCGCGCGAGTGGACGACATATCGTGGGGAGGCATTAGCGGAGGGCGCGGGTCCCCGGAGAAGGTGCGCGCGACCAGGCGACGTTTTAGGGGGAGACGTTTGCGGGGGGGGGCGGGTCCGCGGAGAAAGTGCGCGCGACCGGGTGACGTTTCGGGGGGGAGACTTTTGCGGGGCTGGCGCTGGTCTAGAGAAGATGCGCGCGAGCGGGCGACGTTTCGGGGGGAGACGTTTGCGGGAGGCGCGGGTCCCCGGAGAAAGTGCGCGCGAGCGGACCACGTTTCGGTGGGAGACGTTTGCGGAGCTCGCGCGGGTCTGGAGAAGGTGCTCGCGAGCGGGCGACGTTTCGGGGGGAGACTTTTGCGGGGGGCGCGGGTCCCTGGAAAATGTGCGCGCGAGCAGGCGACGTTTTGGGGGGAGACGTTTGCGGGGGGCGCGGGGGTCCAGAGAAGGTACGCGCGAGCGGGCGACGTTAAGGGGGGGGACGTTTGCGGGGGCCGCGGGTCCCCAGAAAAAGTGCGCGCGAGCAGGCGACGTTTCGGGGGGAGATGTTTGCGGGGCTCGCGCCGGTCTGGACAAGGGGCGTGCGAGCGGGCGACGTTTCGGGGGGAGACGTTTGCGGGGAGGTCGGGTCCCTGGAAAAGGTGCGCGCGAGCGGGCGATGTTTTGGGGGGAGACGTTTGCAGGGGGTGCGGGTTCCCGAAGAAGGTGCGCGCGAGCGGGCGGCGTTTTGGGGGGAGACGTTTGCAAGGGGGTCGGGTCACCGGATAAGGTGCGCGCGAGTGGACGACGTATCGGGGGGAGACGTTAGCCGGGGGCGCGGGTCCCCGGAGAAAGTGCTCGCAAGCAGGCGAAGTTTTAGGGGTAGACGTTTGCGGGGGGGGGCGGGTCCCCGGAGAAGGTGCGCGCGAGCGGGCGACGTTTCGGGGGGAGACGTTTGCAGGGCTCGCGCGGGTCTGGAGAAGGTGCGCGCAAGCGGGCAACGTTTCGGGGGGAGACGTTTGCGGGGCTCGCGCGGGTCTGGAAAAGGTGCGCGCGAGCGGGCGACGTTTCGGGGAGAGACGTTTACGGGGGGGCGCGGGTCCCCGAAGAAGGTGCGTGCGAGCGGGCGACGTTTCGGGGGGAGACGTTTGTGGGGGGCGCGGGGGTCCAGAGAAGGTGCTCGCGAGCGGCGACGTTTCGGGTGGAGACGTTTGCGGGGGGCGCGGGTCCCCGGAGAAGGTGCGCGCGAGCGGGCGACATTTCGGGGGAAGACGTTTGCGGGGGGGGCGGGTCCCCGGAAAACGTGCGCGCGAGCGGGCGACGTTTCGAAGGGAGACATTTGCGGGGCTCGCGCGGGTCCGGAGAAGGAACGCGCAAGCGGGCGACATTTCGGGGGGAGACGTTTGCGGGGGGCGCGTGTCCCCGGAAAAGGGATGCGCGAGCAGGCGACGTTTCGTGGGGATACGTTTGCGGGGAGGGCGGGTCCGCAGAGAAGGTGCGCGCGAGCGGGCGGCGTTTCAGGGGGAGACGTTTGCGGGGCTCGCTCGGGTCTGGATAAGGTGTGCGCGAGCGGGTGACGTTTCAAGGGGAGACGTTTCCGGGGGGCGCGGGTCCCCGGAGAAAGTGCGCGCGAGCGGGCGACGTTTCGGGGGGAGACGTTTGCGGGGCTCGCGCGGGTCCAAAAAAGGTGCGCGCGAGCGGGTGACATTTCGGGACGAGACGTTTGCGGGGGGGCGCGGGTCCCCGAAGTAGGTGCGTGCGAGCGGGCGACGTTTCGGGGGGAGACGTTTGCGGGGGGCGCGAGACCCCGGAGCAGGTGCGCGCGAGCGGGTGACGTTTCGGGGGGAGACGTTTGCGCGTGGGGGCGGGTCCTCGGAGAAGGTGCGCGCCAGCGGGCGACGTATCGAGCGTAGATATTTGGAGGGCCTTGCGTGGGTCAGGAAAGGGTGCGCGCGAGCGGGCGACGTTTCGGGGGGAGACGTTTGCGTGGGGCGCGGGTCCCTGGAAAAGGTGCGCGCGAGCGGGCTACGTTTCGGTGGGAGACGTTTGCGGGGGGTGCGGGAGTCCAGAGAAGGTGCGCGAGAGCTGGCAACATTTCGGGGGGAGAAGTTTGTGGGGGGCGCGGGTCCCCGCAGAAGCTGCGCACGAGCGGACGACGTATCGGGGGGAGACGTTAGCAGGGGGCGCGGGTCCCCGGAGAAACGTCTCCCCTCGAAATGTCGCCCGCTCGCGCGCACCTTCTCCGGGAACCCGCCCCCCCTGCGAACGTCTCCCCCCGAAACATCGCCCGCTCGCGCGCACCTGCTCCGGGGTCTCGCGCCCCCCGAAAACGTCTCCCCCCGAAACATCGTCCGCTCGCGCGCACCTTTTCTGGACCCCGCGCCCCCTGCGAACGTCTCCCCCCGAAACATCGCCCGCTCGCACGCACCTTCTCCAGGGACTCGCGCCCCCCGCAAACGTCTCCCCCCAAAACGTCACCCGCTAGCGCGCACCTTTTTTAGACCCGTGCAAGCCCCGCAAACGTCTCCCCCCGAAACGTCTCCCCAAGAAACGTCGCGCGCTCGCGCGCACCATCTCCCGGGACCCGGCCCCCCCGCAAACGTCTCCCCTTGAAACGCCGCCCGCTTGCGCGCACCTACTCCGGACCCGCGCGAGCCCCGCAAACGTCCCCCCCCGAAACGTTGCCCGCTCGCGCGCACCTTTTCTGGACCCCTGCGCCCCCACAAACGTCTCCCCCCGAAACGTCGCCCGCTTGCGCGCACCTTTTTTGGACCCCCGCGCCCCCCGCAAACGTCTCCTCCCGAAACGTCGCCCGCTCGCGCGTACCTTCTCTGGGGACCCGCCCCCTTCGCAAACGTCTCCCCCCCGAAACGTCGCCCGCTCGCGCGCACCTTTTCCGGGGACCCGCGCCCCCCCGCAAATGTCTCCCCCCGAAACGTCGCATGCTCGCGCGCACCTTCTCCGGGGACCCGCCCCCCCCGCAAACGTCGCCCGCTCGCGCGCACCTTTTCTAGACCCCCGCGCCCCGCGCAAACGTCTCCCCCCGAAACGTCGCCCGCTCGCCCGGACCTTCTCCGGGGACCCAGCCCCCCCCTGCAAACGTCCCCCCCCCCCCCCGAAACGTCGCCTTCTCGCGCGCACTTTTACCGGGGACCCGCGCCCCCCGCAAACGTCTCCCCCCGAAACGTCGCCCACTTGCGCGCACCTTCTCTAGACCTGCGCTCCCCGCAAACGTCTCTCTCCGAAACGTCGCCCGCTCGCGAGCACCTTCTCCGGACCCGCGCGAGCCCCGCAAACGTCTCCCCCCAAAACGTCGCCCGCTCGCGCGCATCTTCTCCGGGGACCCGCCCCCCCCCCCCGCAAACGTTTACTCCCGAAATTCGCCCGCTCGCGCGCACCTTCTTTGGGGACCCGCGCCCCCCGCAAACGTCTCCCCCCGAAACATCGTCGCTCGCGCGCACCTTTTTCGAGGACCTGCGCCCCCCGCAAACGTCTCCCCCCGAAACGTCGTCCGCTCGTGCGCACCTTCTCCGGGAACCTGCGCTCCCCGCAAACGTCTCCCCCCGAAACGTCGCCCGCTCTCGCGCACCTTCTCTGGACTCCCCCGCCCCCCACAAACGTCTTCCCCCGAAACGTCACCCGCTCGCGCGCTCTTTTTTTGGACCCCCGCGCCCCCCGCAAACGTCTCCCCCCGAAACGCCGCCCGCTCGCGAGCACCTTCTCCAGACCCGCACGAGGCCCTACAAACGTCTCCCCCTGAAATGTCGCCCGCTCGCGCGCACCTTATCCGGGTACACGCCCCCCCCTGCAAACGTCTCCCCCCGAAACGTCGTCCGCTCGCGCGCACTTGCTTCGGGGTCTCGCGCCCCCCGCAAACGTCTCCCCCCGAAACGTCGTCCGCTCGCGCGCACCTCTTCTGGACCCCCGCGCCCCCTGCAAACGTCTCCCCCTGAAACATCGCCCGCTCGCACGCACCTTCTCCGGGGACCCGCGCCCCCCGCAAATGTCTCCCCCCGAAACGTCGCCCGCTCGCGCGCACCTTCTTAGACCTTTGCGAGCCCCGCAAACGTCTCCCCCCAAAACGTCGCCCGCTCGCGCGCCCCTTTTCCAGAGACCCGCGCCCCCAGCAAACGTCTCCCCTTGAAACGTCACCTGCTCGCGCGCACCTTATCTGGACCTGCGCGAGCCCCGCAAACGTCTCCCCCTGAAACGTCGCCCGCTCGCGCGCACCTTTTCCGGGGACCCGCCCCCCCGGCAAACGTCCCCCCCCGAAACGTCGCCTTCTCGCGCACACCTTTTCCGGGGACCCGCGCCCCCCCGCAAACTGTCAGAATCCCAACCTGTAGACAATTGGGATAAAATGGCTTGTTTCAGTAGCGGGTCAGTGTGCCTATAATCCCCCAGGCGAACGCGCCTGTAACCCTCTCCAGGATCAATCAGGCATCCACTGTGCAGATCTACTGACACCCCTCCACACTGGAAGGCCCAGGACTAACCACAGCGGCACCGGCCTACATGTGCATACACCACGATTCGAACCTGAGACCGCTCTGATACCATGTCGGATTCCCAACCACTAGACCATTGGGATAAAAGGGCTTGTTTCAGTAGCCGGTCAGTGCGCCCATAACCCCCCAAGCGAACGCGCCTGTAACCCTCTCCAAGATCAATCGGGCATCCACAGTGCAGATCTACTGACACAAAACTCGCCCGCTTGCGCGCACCTTCTCCAGACCCGCGCGAGCCCCGCAAACGTCTCCCCCCGAAACGTCGCCCGCTCGCGCGCGCCTTTCCCGGGGACCCGCGCCCCCCGCGAACGTCTCCCCCCGAAACGTCGCCCGCTCGCGCACATCTTCTCCATGGACTCGCGCCCCCCGCAAACGTCTCCCCCCGAAACGTCGCCCGCTCTCGAGCACCTTCTCCGAACCCGCGCGAGCCCCGCAAACGTCTCCCCCCGAAAGGTCGCCCGCTCGCTCGCACCTTCTCCGGGGACCCGCCCCCCTTGCAAACGTTTACCCCCGAAAGTCGCCCGCTCGCGCGCACCTTTGCCGTGGACCCGCGCCCCCCGCAAAAGTCTCACCCTGAAACGTCGTCCGCTCGCGCACACCTTCTTCGGGGACCTGCGCCCCCCGCAAACGTCTCCCCCCGGAACGTCGCCCGCTCGCGCGCACCTTTTCCGGGGACCTGCGCCCCCCGCAAACGTCTCCCCCCAAAACGTCGCCCGCTCGCGCGCACCTGCTCCGGGGTCTCGCGCCCCCCAGAAACTTCTCCCCCCGAAACGTCGTCCACTCGCGCGCACCTTCTCTGGACCCCCGCGCCCCCTGCAAATGTCTACCCCCGAAACATCGCCTGCTCGCACGCACCTTCTCCGGGGACCCGCGCCCCCCGCAAACGTCTGCCCCCGAAACGTCGCCCGCTCGCGCGCACCTTCTTCATACCCGTGCGAGCCCCGCAAACGTCTCCCCCCGAAACGTCTCCCCCCGAAACTTCGCCCGCTCACTCGCACCTTCTCCGGTGACCCGCGCCCCCCGCAAACATCTCCCCTTAAAACGTCACCCTCTCGCACGCACCTTATCCGGACCTGCGCGAGCCCCGCAAACGTCTCCCCCTGAAACGTCGCCCGCTCGCACGCACCTTCTCCAGGGACCCGCCCCCCCTGCAAACGTCCCCCCCCCCGAAACGTCGCCTTCTCGCGCGCACCTTTTCCGGGGACCCTCACCCCCCGCAAACGTCTCCCCCCAAAACGTCGCCCGCTTGCGCGCACCTTCTCCATACGCGCGCGAGCGTTGCAAACGTCTCCCCTCGAAACGTCGCCCGCTCGCGCGCACTTTTTCCAGGGACCCGCCCCCCTCCCGCAAACGCTACCCCCGAAAGTCGCCTGCTCGCGCGCACCTTCTCCGGGGACCCGCGCCCCCCGCAAACGTCTGCCCCTGAAACGTGGCCCGCTCGCGCGCACCTTCTCCGGGGACCCGCGCCCCCCGAAAACGTCTCCCCCCGAAACGTCTCCCGCTCGCGCACACCTTTTCCAGAACAGCGCGAGCCCCTCAAACGCCTCCCCCCGAAACGTGGCCCGGTCGCGCGCACTTTCTCCGCGGACCCGCCCCCCGCGCAAACGTCTCCCCCTAAAACGTCGCCTGCTCGCGCGCACTTTTTCCGGGGACCCGCTCCCCCCGCTAACGTCTCCCCCCGAAACGCCACCCACTCGCGCCCACCTTCTCCGGGGACCCGCGCCCCCCGCAAACGTCTCCCCCCGAAACGTCGTCCGCTCGCGCGCACCTTCCCCGGGGACCCGCGCCCCCTCGCAAACGTCTCCCCCCGAAACATCGCCCGCTCTCGCGCACCTTCTCTGGACCCCCGCGCCCTCCGCAAACGTCTCCCCCCGAAGCGTCGCTCACTCGCGCGCACTTTCTCCAGGGACCCGCGCCCCGCGCAAACGTCTCCCCTTGAAACGTCACCCGCTCGCGCGCACCCTATCCGGACCCGCGCGAGCCCCACAAACGTCTCCCCCTGAAACGCCGCCCGCTCGCGCGCACCTACTCTGCGGACCCACGCTCCCCGGAAACATCTCCCCCCGAAACGTCGCCTGCTCGCGCATCCCTTTTGCGGGGACACGCGCCCCCCGCAAACGTCTCCCCCCGAAACGTCGCCCGCTTGCGCGCACCTTCTCCAGACCCGCGCGAGCCCCGCAAACGTCTCCCCCCGAAACGTCGCCCGCTCGCGCGCACCTTTTCCGGGGACCCGCCCCCCAGCAAACGTTTCCCCCCGAAACGTCGCCCGCTCGCGCGCACCTTCTTCGGGGACCCGCGCCCCCCGCAAACGTCCCCCCCCCGAAACGTCGCCCGCTCACGCGCACCTTGTCTGGACCCCCGCGCCCCCCGCAAACGTCTCCCCCTGAAACGTCGCCCGGTCGCGAGCACCTTTTCAAGACCCGCGCGAGCCCCGCAAACGTCTCCCCCCGAAACGCCGTCCGCTCGCGCGCACTTTTTCTGGGGACCCGCGCCCCCCGCAAACGTCTCCCCTCGAAACGTCGCCGCTCGCGAGCACCTTCTCTGGACCCCCGCGCCCCCTGCAAACGTCTCCCCCCGAAACGTCGCCCGCTCGCACGCACCTTCTCCGGGAACCCGCCCCCCCCCTGCGAACGTCTCCCCCCGAAACGTCGCCCGCTCGCGCGCACCTGCTCCGGGGTCTCTCGCCCCCCGCAAATGTCTCCCCCCAAAACGTCGTCCGCTCGCGCGCACCTTTTCTAAACCCCGCGCCCCCTGCGAACGTCTCCTCACGAAACATCGCCCGCTCGCACGCACCTTCTCCGAGGACCCGCGCCCCCCGCAAACGTCTCCCCTCGAAACGTCACCCGCTCGCGCGCACCTTCTTCAGACCCGTGCAAGCCCCACAAACGTCTCCCCCTGAAACGTCGCGCGCTCGCGCGCACCTTCTCCGGGGACCCGGCCCCCCTGCAAACGTCTCCCCTTGAAACGCCGCCCGCTTGAGCGCACCTTCTCCGGACCCGCGCGAGCCCCGCAAACGTCTCCCCCCGAAACGTTGCCCGCTCGCGCGCACCTTCTCCAGGGACCCGCGCCCCCCGCAAACGTCCCCCCCCCGAAACATCGCCCGCTTGCGCGCACCTTTTTTGTACCTCTGCGCCCCCCGCCAACGTCTCCCTCCGAAACGTCGCCCGCTCGCGCGCACCTTTTTTGGACCCCCGCGCCCCCCGCAAACGTCTCCTCCCGAAGCGTCGCCCGCTCGCGCGTACCTTTTCTGGGGACCCGCCCCCTCCGCAAACGTCTCCCCCCCGAAACTTCGCCCGCTCGCGCGCACCTTCTCCGGGGACCCGCACCCCCCCGCAAACGTCTCCCCCCGAAACATCGCCCGCTCGCGCGCACCTTTCTAGACCCCCGCGCCCCGAGCAAACGTCTCCCCCCGAAACGTCGCCCGCTCGCTCGCACCTTCTCCGGGGACCCGCCCCCCCCCCGCAAAAGTCCCCCTCTGAAACGTCGCCTTCTCCCGCGCACTTTTTCTGGGGACCCGCGCCCCCCGCAAACGTCTCCCCCCGAAACGTCGCCCACTTGCGCGCACCTTCTCCAGACCCGCGCGAGCCCCGCAAACGTCTCCCCCCGAAATGTCGCCCGCTCGCGCGCATCTTCTCCGGGGACCCGCCCCCCCCCCGCAAACGTTTACCCCCGAAAGTCGCCCGCTCGCGCGCACCTTCTCTGGGGACCCGCGCCCCCCGCAAACGTCTTCCTCCGAAACATCGTCGCTCGCGCGCACCTTCTTCGAGGTCCTGCGCCCCCCGCAAACGTCTCCCCCCGAAACGTCGCCCGCTCGTGCGCACCTTCTCCGGGAGCTTGCGCTCCCCGCAAATGTCTCCCCCCGAAACGTCGCCCGCTCTCGCGCACCTTCTCTGGACTCCCGCGCCCCCCACAAAGGTCTCCCCCCGAAACGTCGCCCGCTCGCGCGCAACTTGTCTGGACCCCCGCGCCCCGGGAAAACGTCTCCCCCGAAACGTCGCCCGCTCGCGCGCACCTTTTCCAGGGACCCGCGCCCCCCGCAAACGTCTCCCCCCGAAACGCCGACCGCTCGCGAGCACCTTCTCCAGACCCGCACGAGGCCCTGCAAACGTCTCCCCCCGAAATGTCGCCCGCTCCCGCGCACCTTTTCCAGGAACACGCCCCCCCCCTGCAAACGTCTCCCCCCGAAACGTCGCCCGCTCGCGCGCACTTGCTCCGGGGTCTCGCGCCCCCCGCAAACGTCTCTCCCCGAAACGTCGTCCGCTCGCGCACACCTTGTCTGGACCCCCGCGCCCCCTGCAAACGTCTCCCCCCGAAACATCGCCCGCTCGCACGCACCTTCTCCGGGGACCCGCGCCCCCCGTAAACGTCTCCCCCCGAAACGTCGCCCGCTCGCGCGCACCTTCTTCAGACCTTTGCGAGCCCCGAAAACGTCTCCCCCCGAAACGTCTCCCCCCGAAACGTCGCCCGCTCGCGCGCACCTTCTCCGGGGACCTGCGCCCCCCGCAAACGTCTCCCCTTGAAACGTCACTTGCTCGCGCGCACCTTATCCGGACCTGCGCGAGCCCCGCAAACTTCTCCCCCTGAAACGTCGCCCACTCGCGCGCACCTTCTCTGGGGACCCGCCCCCCCAGCAAACGTCCCCCCCCGAAACGTCGCCTTCTCGCGCGCACCTTTTCCGGGGACCCGCGCCCCCCGCAAACTGTCAGAATCCCAACCACTAGACCATTGGGATAAAAGGGCTTGTTTCAGTAGCGGGTCAGTGTGCCCATAATCCCCCAGGCGAACGCGCCTGTAACCCTCTCCAGGATCAATCGGGCATCCACAATGCAGATCTACTGACACCCCCCCATACTGGGAGGCCCAGGACTAAGCACAGCGGCACCGGCCTACATGTGCATACACCACGATTCGAACCCGAGACCGCTCTGATACCATGTCTGAATCCCAACCACTAGACCATTGGGATAAAAGGGCTTGTTTCAGTAGCGGGTCAGTGCACCCATAACCCCCCAGGCGAACGCGCCTGTAACCCTCTCCAGGATCAATCGGGCATCCACAATGAAGATCTTCTGACACAAACGTCGCCTGCTTGCGCGCACCTTCTCCGGACCCGCGCGAGCCCCGCAAACGTCTCCCCCCAAAACGTCCCCCACTCGCGCGCGCCTTTTCCGGGGACCCGCACCCCCCGCAAACGTCTCCCTCCGAAACGTCGCCCGCTCGCGCACACCTTCTCCAAGGACCCGCGCCCCCCGCAAACGTCTCCCCCCAAAACGTCGCCCGCTCGCGAACACCTTCTCCAGACCCGCGCGAGCCCCGAAAACGTCTCCCCCCGAAACGTCGCCCGCTCGCGCGCACCTTCTCCGGGGACCCGCCCCCCTCGCAAACGTTTACCCCCGAAAGTCGCCCGCTCGCGCGCACTTTCTCCGTGGACCCGCGCCCCCCGCAAAAGTCTCACCCCGAAACGTCGTCCGCTCGCGCGCACCTTCTTCGGGGACCTGCGCCCCCCGCAAACGTCTCCCCCCGAAACGTCGCCCGCTCGCGCGCATCTTTTCCGGGGACCTGCGCCCCCCGCAAACGTCTCCCCCCGAAACGTCGCCCGCTCGCGCGCACCTACTCCGGGGTCTCGCGCCCCCCACAAACGTCTCCCCCCGAAACCTCGTCCGCTCGCGCGCACCTTCTCTGGACCCCCGCGCACCCTGCAAACGTCTCCCCGCGAAACATCGCCCGCTCGCACGCACCTTCTCCAGGGACCCGCGCCCCCCGCAAACGTCTGCCCACCGCCCCATTCTCCCGCTTTCCATCACCCCGCCCCATTCTCCCGCTTTCCATCACCCCGCCCCATTCTCCCGCTTTCCATCACCCCGCCCCATTCTCCCACTTTCCATCACCCCGCCCCATTCTCCCGCTTTCCATCACCCCGCCCCATTCTCCCGCTTTCCATCACCCCGCCCCATTCTCCCTCCTTCCATCACCCCGCCCCATTCTCCCACCTTCCATCACCCCTCTCCATTCTCCCGCATTCTATCACCCCACCCCATTCTCCCGCTTTCCATCACCCTGCCCCATATTCCCTCTTTCCATCACCCCGCCCCAATCTCTCGCTTTCCATCACCCCGCCCCATTCTCCCTCCTTCCATCACCCCGCCCTATTCTCCCTCCTTCCATCACCCCGCCCCATTCTCCCTTCTTTCATCACCCCGCCCCATTCTCCCTCCTTCCATCACCCTGCCCCATTCTCACGCTTTCCATCACCCCGCCCCGTTCTCCCCCTTTCCATCACCTCACCCCATTCTCTCGCTTTCCATCACCCCGCCCCATTCTCCCGCTTTCCATCACCCCGCCCCATTCTCCCTCTTTCCTTCACCCCGCCCCATTCTCCCTCTTTCCATCACCCCGCCCCATTCTCTTGCTTTCCATCACCCCACCCCATTCTCTCGCTTTCCATCACCCCGCCCCATTCTCCCTCCTTCCATAACCTCGCCCCATTCTCCCTCCTTCCATCACCCCGCCCCATTCTCCCGCCTTCCATCACCCCGCCCCATTCTCCCGCTTTCCATCACCGTACCCCATTCTCCCGCTTTCTGTTACCCTGCTCCATTCTCCCGCTTTCCATCACCCCGCCCCATTCTCCCTTTTTCCATCACCCCGCCCCATTCTCCCGCTTTCCATCACCCCACCCTTTTCTCCCGCTTTCCATCACCTTGCCCCATTCTCCCGCTTTCAATCACCCCGCCCCATTGTCCCTCCTTCCATCACCCCGGCCCATTCTCCCTCCTTCCATCACCCCGCCCTATTCTTCCGCTTTCCATCACCTCGCCCCATTCTCCCTCTTTCCATCACCTTGCCCCATTCTCCCGCTTTCCATCACCCCAACCCATTCTCCCGCTTTCTTTCACCCCGCCCCATTTTCCCGCTTTCCATCACCCCGCCCCATTCTCCCTCCTTCCATCACCCCACCCCATTCTCCCTCCTTCCATCACCCCGCCCCATTCTCCCGCTTTCCATCACCCCGCCCCATTCTCCCGCTTTCCATCACGCCCCCCCCATTCTCCCACTTTCCATCACCCCGCCCCATTCTCCCGCTTTCTATCACCCCGCCTCATTCTCCCGCTTTCCATCCCCCCGTCCCATTTTCCCGCTTTCCATCACCCCGCCCCATTCTCCCGCTTTCCAGCACCCCGCCCCATTCTCCCGCTTTCCATCACCCCGCCCCATTCTCCCGCATTCCCTCACCCCGCCCCATTCTCCCGCTTTCCATCACCCCGCCCCATTCTCCCGCTTTCCATCACCCCGCCCCATTCTCCCTCCTTCCATCACCCCGCCCCATTCTCCCGCTCTCCATCACCCCGCCCCATTCTCCCGCTTTCCATCACCCCGCTTGATTCTCCCGCTTTCCATTATCCCGCCCCATTCTCCCCCTTTCCATCACCCTGCCCCATTCTCCCGCTTTCCATCGCCCCACCCCATTCTCCAGCTTTCCATCACCCCGCCCCATTCTCCCGCTTTCCATCACCCCGCCCCATTCTCCCGCTTTCCATCACCCCGCCCCATTCTCCCGCTTTCCATCACCCCGCCCCATTCTCCCTCCTTCCATCAACCCGTGTTGTGCCAACACATTTCAGTGGCACGGTCATCGCACTCCAATTCCGCCTACAAGCCTGCTCAGCTTCTGGAATTTTGTGGGGCGGTTGTTCAACATGTGGTCTTTATACCCTCAAAGACAACATTTTATGTTTCAAGACTTATGGCATCCCGGAAGTGTGTGTTACTCCTTTTTTGGTAACACCCGAGTTCACCATTTCGGCTGGTGAATTGTCTCCAGAGCTCTGATTGGTCTGAAATTCGGTCTGGCAGTCCTTTGTTTTTATGTGCAGGTGGTCAACAAGTTTCAGAACGATCCAACGTCTGAGCATTGCGTGACAGCTGCCGTAATTCACTGTTCCGTAGTCATGGTGCACTGTTGGCAGCATTTCCCTTGCCACCCTTTCATTGTTGTCATGCCAATGGTGCAGGGACAGAGAATGAGACAAGAAGTACAGGTGGTCAAGTCGGACTCTACAACCCTCCATTTGAGAAGTATGGTCTTCCTGGAAGCAGCTTGCAATAGGGTGCAAGTGGGAAGACAAGCTGACTCATGGTTGGCTTGACTCACAATTGGTTGCCTTGAGTACAGCTCTGAACATCCATGTGTGGTTGGCTTTGCTGACCTAGCTAGGATGTTGCCCATCCTTCTCTGGCCTTCCTCCCCTAGGACTAAACCTTCTCTGAGTTCCCAGGATGATCCCAACCCCTTGAGAGTCGCCTAGGCAATGTTATACTTCCCTCTTCCATGCATCAATGAGAATACACGGTTTTTCAGCCGAGCTTACGTTTTTGTTTACAGCGTAGCGCATACACCTTTGATGAAAGCAAGCAATACAACGTTGGAAAGCAGACACCTAAGGCTAACTACTATCTGAGTTTCAGCCTCGTGTGTTTTTGGAGCTGATCGTGACAGCGTTTTGAACAGAGGCGGTACGAAGTCGTCACTTTCTACTACTTAGGCGGTTTCATGGGCATTCGCGACCCCTAAGTGGACTGAAGACTATAACACCCCCCCCCCCTTCTCCTGCTTTCCATCACCCCATCCCATTCTCCCTCCTTCCATCACCCGCCCCATTCTCCCTCCTTCCATCACCCCGCCACATTCTCCCGCTTTCCATCACCCCGCCCCATTCTCCCTCCTTCCATCACCCCGCCCCATTCTCCCGCTTTCCATCACCCCACCCCATTTTCCTGATTTCCATCACCCCGCCCCAATCTCCCGTTTTCCATCACCCCGCCCCATTCTCCCGCTTTTTATCACCCCGCCCCATTCTCCCGCTTTCCATCACCCCGCCCCATTCTCCCGCTTTCCTTCACCCCGCCCCATTCTCCCTCCTTTCATCACCCCGCCCCATTCTCCCACCTTCCATCACCCCGCCCCATTCTCCCGCTTTCTATCACCCCGCCCCATTCTCCCGCTTTCCATCACCCCGCCCCATTATCCCGCTTTCCATCACCCCACCCCATTCTCCCGCTTTCCATCACCCCGCCCCATTCTCCTGCTTTCCATCACCCCGGCCTATTCTCCCTCCTTCCATCACCCCGCCGCATTCTCCCTCCTTCCATCACCCTACCCCATTCTCCCGCTTTCCGTCACCCTGCCCCATTCTCCCGCTTTCCATCACCCCGCCCCATTCTCCCGCTTTCCATCACCCCGCCCCATTCTCCTGCTTTCCATCACCCCGCCCCATTCTCCCTCCTTCCATCACCCCGCCCCATTCTCCCACCTTCCATCACCCCTCTCCATTCTCCTGCTTTCCATCACCCCACCCCATTCTCCCGTTTTCCATCACCCTGCCCCAATCTCCCGCTTTCCATCGCACCGCCCCATTCTCCCGCTTTCCATCACCTCGCCCCATTCTCCCTCCTTCCATCACCCTGCCCCATTCTCCCTCCTTCCATCACCCCGCCCCATTCTCACGCTTTCCATCACCCCGCCCCATTCTCCCGCTTTCCATCACCCCGCCCCATTCTCCCGCTTTCCATTAACCCACCCTATTCTCCCTCCTACCATCACCCCGCCCCATTCTCCCGCTTTCCATTACCCCGCCCCATTCTCCCGCTTTCCATCAGCCCGCCCCATTCTCCCGCTTTCCATCACCCCGCATCATTCTCCCGCTTTCCATAACCTGTCAAACTTATATGCTATAGTCTGTGTAGGCTGTAGTTGGGTAGACAATATGGGATACAACACTTTTAGTTTTTCCTACTTGTACCCACCTGTTTCCTAGTGCATTTATTCATCATTCTTTTACATGGTATCAAAGCAAAGGTCTCGGGTTCGAATCCCAGTGTGTGCACTTCGGGCATCCCAGTGCGGGGGGGTGTCAGAGGTCCACTGGTGATCCCCGATTGATCCTAGAGAAGGGTTATAGGCTACTTGTCCTGGGGGGTTATGGGCGCACTGACCCGCTACTTAACAAGCCCTTTTGTCCCAATGGTCTAGTGGTTGGGATTCTTACATGGTATAGAGCAGGTTCCCTAGTGGGAACGTTCCCTAGGGCCCACCGAAAATCCAAATTTTTTTTCCTGCCCGGAGCGCGCTTCGCCCCTGCTCGAGTCGCGCCCCGTGTGCCTTCCCTTAGCGGCCCGTCGCGCCCTTTTTCGGCCCCTCGCGACCCCTCGCACAGCCCCTCGCGGCCACTCTCACGGCCCCCCGCGGCCCCTCGCGGCCCCTCGCGGCCCCTTGTGGCCCCTCTCACGGCCCCTCGCGGCCCCGTCACGGCTCCCTTGCGGCCCCTCGCGGCCCCTCTCACGGCCCCTCGCGGCCCCGTCGCGGCTCCCTGGCGGCCCCTTGCGGCCCCTTGTGGCCCCTTCGTGGCCCGTCGCGGCCCCTTCTCAACCGCCGCCGCCCCTGCCCCGGCCGCAGCAGCCGCCACCACCAACAGCAGCCGCCGCCGCCGGCGACAGCAGCCGCCGCCGCCGCCACCGCCGACAGCAGCAGCCGCCGGCGCTGACATCAGCAGCCGCCTCCGCCGCCGACGACAGCAGCCGCCGCCGCCGACAGCAGCAGCCGCCGCCGCCGACAGCAGCAGCCGCCGCCGCCGCCGACACCAGCAGCCGCCGCCGCCCCTGCCCGCCGCGGCACCCTGGCCCCTGGAGCAGCCGCCGCTGCTGCAGCTGCCCCTGGCCCCTGGAGCAGCCGCCCTTGCAGCAGCCGCCACGGCCTCTGGTGCAGCAGTCCCTGCACCAGCCGCGGCGCCCTCGCCCTGCGGTGGTAGCGGCCTCACCATTGCCGCTGTCGTACTCCTCCCCTTCTTGCCACTGGTGGGCACTGCTGTTACTACTGTTACTGCTGCTCTTGCTACTACTTCTCTTTCTACTGCTACTGCTGCTCCAGGCGTGGCCAGATGTAGCACCAGCGCCGTCCGCGTGAGTCCCTCACGCCCCAGCAGCTTCGTGAGTGGTACGCTAATAGGGGTTGTCGGGGTGACCGTAGTGAGAGTCGTTCTGGCGTGAGTAGTTCGGGAGCTACTTGTAGTGGCCAGATGCAGCTGCAGCGTAGTCCGCGCGCGGTCCTTTCGCCCTAGCAGCTTCCTGACTGGTACGCTCAGCGTGGAGGGTCACGGAGTACTGCTCGCTGTCCGTACGTCATTCGCACTGGTGCTCGGACTGGTCAGCCTTGCGGGACGTTTGGTCACGCAGAGTCCCGCTGCTTCGCCCGTCTAGGAGACGCCTGGCGTACGGAGTTTGGCGACGCCGCTGAGCTCCCCGACTCGGTGGAGCTGCTTAGGCAGAGGGTAGATATCTATGCTCTTGACTATGATGCTATCCTCACTGCCATGTATGCATTGCCTACTAGTGATGTGGGTGACTGTTACCTGTGTGTTCCGCCTGACCCGGGCATTGAGGCTGATGCTCTAGGTGCTGGTGAGGCTGCTGCTCTAGGTGCTAGTGAGTCTACTCCTCTAGGTGCTGGTGAGTCTGCTGCCCCAGGTGCTGGTGAGTCTGCTGCCCCAGGTGCTGGTGAGTCTGCTGCCCCAGGTGCTGGTGAGTCTGCTCTCTCAGGTACCACGTCGTCTCAGGCCTTACACCCCTTCACCCTTGACTCGGGTGCTTCCCGCTCCTTCTTTCGAGACCGCACCACACTCACGCCGCTTAGTCGGCCGGCTGCAGTCTCCCTGGCAGACCCCTCTGGGGGTCCTGTCCTTGCCCACTTCTCCACTGTCTTACAATGTCCGGCGGCCCCTTCTGGCTCTTTGTCAGGTCTTTACCTCCCCTCGTTCTCTACGAACTTGGTGAGTAGTGCTGACCTACAGGATGGAGGGGTTGACCAGTTCACTCCTGCGCGTCAGCGAGTGACCCACTGTACGTGTGCTCGGACGGGCCGACACTTGGCCACGTTTACCCGTAAGCCGGGGTCGAGCCTGTACACACTGACTACTGAGTCTCCTCAGGTAGTTGCGTCGAGTCAGGTGTTTGCTGCAGCGTCCAGGTCTGGTCCTGAGTCTGCCCCCTCCTCGTGTCGTCTCCTGTCTCACCAGACTCTCCTCTGACACCACCACCTTGGTCACCCCTCCCTGCCTCGTCTCCGAGGCATGGCCTCTCGTTTCCTTGTCTCGGGTCTCCCCAGGTCCCTCCCTTCTCTTCCTCCAGGGCCTGCCCCCACCTGCGTTCCCTGCGTCGAGGGGCGGCAGCGCGCCGCTCTTCACTCCTCCGAGTTTCCTCCGACAGAGGCTCCGCTGCAGACGCTTCACATGGACGTGTCGGTCCCAGCCCGCGTCCGTGGACAGGGTCACAAGCGTTACTTCCTGCTGGTGGTTGACGACTACTCGCGTTACACCACAGTCTTCCCCTTGCGCAGCAAGGGTGAGGTCACTGAGGTGTTGATCGACTGGATCCGCGCAGCTCATCTCCATCTCAAAGAGAGTTTCGGCTCGGACTTTCCTATCCTGCGTCTGCACTCGGACAGGGGCGGTGAGTTTTCCTCTGACCTTCTGCGAGCCTTCTGTCGTGCACAGGGAATCCGCCAAACTTTCACGCTTCCGGCCTCTCCACAGCAAAACGGGATTGCTGAGCGCCGCATTGGCATGGTCATGGATGTCGCTCGTACGTCCATGATCCATGCGGCTGCTCCCCATTTTCTGTGGCCGTTCGCGGTTTAGTACGCGGCGCACCAGATCAACCTTCAGCCCTGGGTCTCCTTGCCGGAGACCTCCCCTACTCTGCGGTGGACGGGGAAGGTTGGCGATGCGTCTGCGTTTCGTGTCTGGGGATCTCGGGCTTTTGTCCGCGACTTGTCTGCGGACAAGCTGTCCCCCCGTGCTGTTCCCTGCGTCTTCCTTGGCTTCCCCCTTTACGCGCCTGGTTGGCAGTTTTACCACCCCACCTCGCGCCGTGTCCTGTCCTCCCAGGACGTCACGTTTCACGAGTCGGTGACTTACTACCGTCTCTTCCCCTACCGCATTGCGCCCCTCCTCCCGCCGCCGCTCTTCCTTGCGCCAGGTCCTCCCCCGGTAGACCCCCTCCCCCCCCCAGGGTCCTGCCCCGTCAGGTGTGTCCCAGGTAGACGCAGTCGAGCCTGTCGAGGTAGCTGTTGACTCTGGTGCTGCTAGAGGTGCTGAGCCTGCTGGTGCCGGGTCTAGAGGTGCTGAGCCTGAGGGTGCGGAGCCTGGGGGTGCTGAGTCTGGGGGTGCTGAGCCTGGGGGTGCTTAGTCTGGGGGTGCTGAGCCTGGGGGTGCTGAGCCTGGGGGTGCGGAGCCTGGGGGTGCTGGGTCTGCTCGTCTGGCCTCTCGCGGTGCTTTGTCGAGGCGGGAGCCACTCTCTCCGTAGAAGCTGCGCGAGTGGTTTGCCCGACGCTGGAGCCGTGCTGCTGGAGTTGGAGGCACTACGGTTGCTGCTGGTCCCGAAGGTGCTCGTACTGGTGGTACTGGAGCTTCTGGAGCTGGGGGTGCTATTGGGGCTGCTGGAGTTAGTCCTGCTGGAGGTACTGCTGGATCTGCTGGCGTTACTGGAGCTGCCGGTCCTACTGGAGTTGGTGCTGCTGGAGCTACTGGTGCTACTGTAGCTGGAGCTGCTGGGGGTGTTCGCGCTGGTGGTTCTTCTGGCGCTGGTGCGTTTGAGGGTGCTGGAGTTGGCGCTATTGGAGCTGGAGGTGCTGCTAGCGCCGGTGCTGCCGCTGGGGGTACTGGTGCTGTCCCTGCTGGTTCTGGAGGCGCTGCGCGGCCGCGGCCGTACTTCGTTCCGCTCCTTGAGCAGGTTCTTGGTCTCCCGCCCTCTACTGGTCCTGCTCCTCCCTTAGAGTGTCCTCAGCCTGTCTAGTCGCAGTCACAGTTACAGCCCGCCTCCTCCGGAGCAGGAGCAGCAGCCCCAATACTCGGGTCAGGCGGAACACATAGGTAACAGTCACCCTCATCACTAGTAGACACAACATACATGGCAGCAAGAATAGCATCATAATCTAGATCAAAGATAGCAACCCCCGCCCTAGACAGAACGTCCCAGCGCCCTCGCTCAGAGACCTCAGGGAACTAGTGACGCCACGTGTCCGTCAGGCGGCCGAAACAGCGCTGGGTGGAGTGCGGGCCCCCGCACTGCTCACCAGCGCGGTCGCCGGTACGGAGGACGTAGGTGCAGGGACCAGTACCCCCACCGCGCTGACGCGCAGCGTACCACTCACGGAGCTGCTAAGGGGTCAGGGTCTCACGACTCCCGAAACGTCGCCCGCTCACACGCACCTTCTCCGGGGACCCGCGCTCCCCGCAAACGTCTCCCCTTAAAACGTCACCCGCTCTCGCGCACCTTATTCGGACCTGCGCGAGCCCCGCAAACGTCTCCCCCTGAAACGTCGCCCGCTCGCGCGCACCTTTTCCAGGACCCGCCCACCCCGCAAACGTCCCCCCCCCCCCGAAATGTCGCCTTCTCGCGCGCACCTTTTCCGGGGACCCGCGTCCCCCGCAAACGTCTCCCCCCGAAACATGGCCCGCTCGCGCGCACCTTCTTCGGGGACCTGCGCCACCAGCAAATGTCTCCCCCCGAAACGTCGCCTG